ATATATATATATATATATATATATATATATATATATATATATATATATATATATATATATATATATATATATATATATATATATATATATATATATATATATATATATATATATATATATATATATTTATATATATATATATATATATATATATATATATATATAAAACAAAAAGATTAAAAAACATTTTCTTAAACAAATTAATTTCTTTTTTATTAAATAATTAATTTTTATACTTAGGATAAATTAGTATATTATTTTATTTTCTTAGTTAAAATTAATTTAGAATTTAGGTTTATTTTAATTAATTAATCTTCATTTTATTTTCATTAATTAAAAACCTTTTCATAAAAAATCCTAAAAATCTTTTTCAAGTTAATTTCTTTTCTTAATTAGTTTAAGTTAATTCTATTTAATTTTAATTAATCATTTTCTTTAGTTAGGTCAAGACAAAAACCCCTTTCATAAAAACAACAAAAAACATTTCTTTTTCCATTTATATTCTTGCATTTTATTTTCAATTTTGTATAATATTCAATATGATTGTAATAGATAATTAGGTTTAATTTTCTTGCGTTTCCCATTTGTAAATTTGTACACCCCCTCCCCTAATGATGTAGTACCATAGTAATTTTACTTTTCGCAATTTATCGCTTTATATAAATGCTAGTAATTAGGGTTTGAATGAGAAGATAAAATCAACAAGTAGAAAACCCTAATCAAAGACTAAACAAAGCATGAAAATCCATACACTTGCACCCAAGCACCCCTAGGGTAAAATCCACTTGGTTGCCTTATAAAACTGGCCATATTATGCATGTGAGATATCTTAGCAAAAACAAGTAAAATACAAGATCATAGTCCCTCGATGACGCTATCTATGTTGCCTTTTCAAAATGATCTTAGTCCCTAGAGAAAAATGCTAAGATACCTTGCAACATTGCTAATCATGGTTATACAATGAACCACGCCCGTCCCGTTTACATCTAAAGATAGGGTTAATTACTAAATCAATGGTAAGATAACAATGTCAAAGGAAAAAAGAAATGAACATGAAAGACTTTTGAGTAGGTAGATTGTTCCTAGTTACTTGCTTCATTTCAAAACAAAAACATACTTGCTATTTTCAAAACAAACACCAACACGTTCAAAAAACATCTTTCAAACTTGAAATATTTTTAAAAGATCAACATCTTTATATACATTCTTACGAACGAGAATCATTACAAAGTTTGCCTAAACAATGGCCTCTTTACAAAATACTTTCAAAAACCACACAAAGCACAATTTCAAACAAAAGCAAGTGATCTAACAAGTAACTAAGAGCCCATGGAAAACCATGGATGAAAAGGGTGCTAATACCTTCCCTTTTCATAATCTACCCCCCGAACCCAAGAAACAATCTCAAAGGTCTTTCCTGTGCTTTTTCACCTTTCCTTTTGGATAAAAGAAAAGTTGGTGGCGACTCTTGCTAACCGTAACATTTGCGATCAAACGCAAAACACTAAGTCAGTTCTCCCACCTTATCACACCAATCCAGACCAACTTACAGAGCATGAGCTCCCAACTTGTTATGTTATGCATGCGACAACATTATGAAACACAACAACAACTACAACATCAACCATTCAACAACAACTCAACAAAAATTCAACACTTGCCACAAGCCTACAACTTATCTGCCAAGAATTAGAGGCATTTCAACAAAACAACAACAATTTAACACTGGCCACAAGCCTATAACTTATTTGCCAAGAATTAGAGGCATTTCAACAACATCGATATATCCTATAACTTCGCATCATCAACAATATTGACATTATAACAACATAGTAAAATTCACAAATACAATCGAAACCCATTGCAATAACACTACATAATTATTCAGCTATACGTCTATATTCGACTATTAGACATTCTGCGACGGTTCCTCTAATATTAACATGCTGCAACTATTATATAAGCTAGTACTGCTATCAATAATTTCCACTAATGTTAGTGCTCACTATGCCAAAATTGAATTTAGAGCGCCACATAGACAACGCTTATGCCCTAAGCGTTGCTATAGGTTTTCAGAAGAAAAAAATTAAAAATTTAGAGTAAGCGCTGCTAAAGGTATACCTTAGACAACGCTTACTAAAAGCGCTGCTAAAGGCCTTACCATAGACAGCGCTTCCTTTAAGTTTGCTGTTGAACACGCTGAAGACCCGAATAGAATGAAATGCCCTTGCTTGGGTTGTTGTTATGTGGGTCGGGTTGACGCAGATGGATTGAAATCGCATTTACTAATGCGTGGAATTGATCGAAGTTATACGTGTTGGATATTTCATGGTGAGAAAAGCATCGAGAATGTTGAACCGGGGGTGAAAAGTAATGCAACATATGTTTCGTATGACAATGCCATGGATACATATGATTGTGATCGGGTTGAAGAGATTGCAGAAGCACTTGAATAAGATATTCAAGATTGTCCCAAAATGTTTGAGAGGTTGGTAAGCGATGCGGAGAAACCGTTGTATAAAGATTGCCCCAAATTCACAAGATTGTCTGCGGTATTAAAATTGTACAACTTAAAGGCGCGCAATGGATGGTCGGATAAAAGTTTCACACAGTTATTAGCCCTTTTGAGAGATATGCTTCCTGAGGATAATGTTCTTCCTAATCGAACCTACGAGGCCAAAAAAATGTTGTGCTCTATTGGCATGAGCTATGATAAGATACATGCATGTCTAAATGATTGTATTTTGTTTCGAAACGAATATGCATCGTTGAATGAGTGCCCAAAGTGCGGTTTAGCTCGATATAAGAAAAAATTATCTCCAGCGAAAGTCTTATGGTATTTTCCTATTATTCCGAGATTTAGACGCATGTTTCATAGTGAAACCAATGCTAGACACTTGACTTGGCATGCATATGAAAGAATTATCGACGGAAAGTTTCGACATCCGGCAGATGCACCACAGTGGAATAAAATTGATAATGATTATCCTGATTTTGGAGGAGAAACAAGAAACCTTCGCTTGGCATTATCTACGGATGGAATGAACCCGCATGGTCTTCAAAGTATCTCACATTCCACATGGCCTGTGATTCTTATGATTTATAACCTACCTCCATGGCTATGTATGAAGCGCAAGTACATGATGTTATCTATGTTAATTTTTGGGCCTAAACAACCAGGGAATGACATAGATGTATACTTGAAACATTTAATTGAAGATTTGAAGATTTTGTGGGAGAATGGTGTGGAGGTTTATGATGGATATAGGAAAGAAAGTTTCAATTTGAGGGCGATGTTGTTTGGCACAATTAACGATTTTCCAGCATATGGAAATCTATCCGGGTATAGAATTAAAGGTGAAAAAGCGTGTCATGTCTGTGAAGATGGAACCGATACGACACGATTGAAACTTTGTCAAAAGAATTTCTTTCTCGATCATCGTAGATTCTTAAATTCAAAACATCAATATCGTGGATGGAGAAAAGCGTTCAATGGAAATACCAAACAACGTAGAGCTCCACCTGGATTGACAGGTGATCAAATTTGTGAAAAGGTGAAAGATGTGAGTATTCAGTTTGGCAAGCCTTTTGCACATAAAGTTGTCACAGGTGGGTGGAAGAAGAGGTCAATTTTTTTTGAATTGCCATATTGGAAATCTTTGTACGTAAGACATTTTCTTGATGTTATGCATATTGAAAAAAATGTATTTGAAAGTTTTATTGGTACGTTACTCAATATAAAAGGAAAGTCTAAGGATGGCCTTAAAGCAAGAGAGGACATGATAGAGATGGGAATAAGAACTGAATTAGGACCCGTGAAGAAAGGAAGACGAACATATCTACCACCTGCTTCTTATACTCTATCTAGAAAGGAAAAGAAAATATTGTGTAAGTTTCTGAGTGAAGTTAAAGTTCCAAAAGGTTACTCCTCAGATATTAGAAGACTCGTGTCCATGAAAGACCTCAAGTTAAAGA